GTGGCTACTACACTGGCGTGGGGTACACACCCACAGAACTTGGTCACTTATTCGGGGCGCGCGTGTGCCCAGCATCCTGCAATTGTGACATACAATACATGACACAGACAGACAGAGAGAGAGACAGAGAGCAGACAGAGAGAGAGACAGAGAGAGCGGAGTTGGTCACATTTTTGGGGCAAGTTCCTGAGATCGTCGTGTTTTTTGTTGGTCTTGCGCGCGCGAATGTCCACTTTACTTTTTTTTTGCAAGGGAGTATTGAAATTTGATTATGTTAGAACAAGAAAAAGTAGCTCGCGCGAGCTCATGTAACATAAATGTTGAAAAACCATTGGTTTTGTGGGAGTCGGACAGCGCGCGCGGGATGAAATTTGGACATTTTTTTTTGAAAAACCATTGGGTTTTTGATGTTTTTATGTTGAAATCGTTACGAAACCTAAGGTTCTGGAAGGATTTCGTCTTGCGCGCGCGAATGTCCACTTTACCTTATTTTTTGCAAGGGATTATTGAAATTTGATTATGTTAGAACAAGAAAAAGTAGCTCGCGCGAGCTCATGTAACATAAATGTTGAAAAACCATTGGTTTTGTGGGATTCGGACAGCGCGCGCGGAAGGACATTTTGACAATTTTTTCTTAAAAAACCATTGGGTTTTTGATGTTTTTATGTTAAAATCGTTACGAAACCTAAGGTTTTGGAAGGATTTCGTCTTGCGCGCACGAATGTCCACTTTACCTTATTTTTTGCAAGGGATTCTTGCAATTTGATCAAGTAAGAACAAGAATTTTCATTTTCTATTGTTTTTTGCAAGGGAAAACGAGCGTCAACAAAAAACCGGATCCGGAGCTCATCCACTTTTCTGAAGCTTTCGCGAAAAAATGATGAAAATGTAGCTGCGGCCTAGGCGCGGCGCAGAGGTCGCGCACCAGGGGTCCCAACAATAATAATTCTTTAGAAGGAATAATGTTCAAAAACAATAACAATAACAATAACAACAACAACAACAACAACAACAACAACAGCAGCAACAACAACAACAACAACAACAACAACAACAACAACAACAACACCAACAACAACAACAGCAACAACAACACCAACAAGAAGAACAACAACGACGACGACAACAACATAAACAGCAACAACAACAGCAGCAACAGCTACACCACCGACAACAACAGCAACAACAACAACAGCAACAGCAACAACAACAACAATCAGCTTAAGACTGCTCGCTCCTATCTGCTCACGTGCCAAGCAATACGTATATCCCAAACCCTCGGTGCCCACCCTCGTCGTCTCCGATCGTACCCCTTTGGAGGTAGATCCTCCCCTTTGGAGCACGAGACAAACTAGCAGGAGGGGGGCAAGGAGCATAAAACAAGTGGTAGAACCAAACGGGCAGATCGGGTGGGCAGACCCATAGTGGGCAGGTCGGGAAGGCAGGCCCAAGCGACGAGGTCGAGCAGGCGGGTTGCTGAAGCGTGGGTCCTGCATGAATCGCGAGGAGGCCTCGAGCGATAGCGCAATTCCCAAGTACATCGTGAGAAAAACCAGCGTGGGCCACGAAGGGCATTAAATCCGAGGCCACAGAGGGCAGCGACGGGGCCCCTGAGGGCAGCACCGGGGCCACGAAGGGCAGCGAGGGGGCCACAAAGGGCGACAGCGGGGCCACGAAGGGCATGCATATGGGGCCACGACGGGAGCGAGCGGGGGTCACGAAGGGCATTGGTATACGGGGCCACAAAGGGCGACAGCAAGGCCACTGAGGGCAGCAAAGAGGCCACGAAGGGCAGCGAGGGGGCCACAAAGGGCGACAACGGGGCTGCGAAGGGCATGCGCATGGGGCCACGACGGGCGCGTGCGAGCTGGGGCCACGAAGGGCATGTAATGCGGGGCCACAAAGGGTAGCGACGGGGCCACTGAGGGCAGCAACGGGGCCACGAAGGGCAGCGAGCGAAGGCGACCGCGGAACCAGTACGGGGAGCGAGGGGCATCGAAGGCGGGCGAAGGGCATCGAGCGGCGACTGCAGTCATTAACGGGTTGGTCGGGCGGGCAGGCCCCGACGGGCGGGTCGAGCGGGCGGGTCGTTGAAGCGTGAATCCTGCTTGTAGCGGGGGCGTGATTCCTGAGTGTCGAGGACCGGCATCTGGATAAATTGTAAGGACGTATCAAGCGAAGCGGTTCGGTGGTAAATTGCGAGGAAGTCCCAAGCGGGAACGCGATTATATAATACGATTCTATAGCACTTTGTCAGGAAGTTTCGTGCGGGATCCGCGGTTCGGTGGTAAATTGCAATGGAATCCAAAGCGAGAGCGCGATTCTTCAATTAATTGTGAAGAAGTGTCAGGGGGGAGCCGTTGTTGTTGTAGTCCGGGGGAGGAACAACGCAGTTTGACCCGGACTAAATTGTGAGGAAGTCTCAAGCGGGAGCGCCTTTCCGGAGTAAAGTGGGAGGAAATCTCAGACAGGAGGGGGGTCTCCTGAGGAAATTTGGTGG